CTATGGTATTGATACCTGTTAGGCTTCCCACTGTAACCACTGACTTTGCAGCTCATCCACAGAACTTTAAAGGCACCTTATTAGACCTTGCATACTACAATTCTTGCAATGAGCTCTACCTGCTCCTCTATAGCTCTTCATTCTAGGAAATCATGTTTCCAAATGCTCAGTAATTGTCAATTGTCAATTGTAAATGGATTATTAGGAGCTATTAGGAAAAAAAGAAAAGAGAATACATGACAAACTCAATACTTTAAATATCACAAAACTCAATATTATATGCAGGTCTAGTCTCATTTCTAAAAATATAGTGTAACTAAAAGAGATACAAGTAAGGAACAACACAATGACCAAAGGTATGGGTGGGAGTCCACACAAGAAGTGATTAAATATACCCTGCATGTAAGTGTACATAGGAAAGAGTAACCTGAGGGAAGACAGGATGGAGACCCGTAATAAAACAAGCCTTATGGAAATGAATGTACACTGTCTCTTCTACTACAAAAACTAGGAAATATTAAATGAAAGCAGCAGATGACAAGTTCAGAATAAATAAAATGAGAAGCTTCTTTGCACAACTGTAGTGAACATAGAAAACTTTAAGAGCTGTTAAAATACCTAGACACATAGAAAGTCTCTGAACTGCAAACTGCTGAACCTATGAAAGTACTCTGGAAATGTATAAATGTATTTGTGCCACATTCTTAACCTTTTCTATATTGACCATTGCTGGAGATGGGTTACGTGGTTGGATAAACTCTTGGCTTGAGCCTGTATGTCCATTCTTATGCTTGCTTCTTCCACTTTGCTGCGATAGCATATGCTGTCTTTGGGCTTTGAATTATATGAGGATTTTTTTGCTTATTTTCAGTCTTCTGGAGGAAAATAGGTACTGGCAATGAGCTGTTGGGGAGAAGACTCTTGCATAAACCAGCAAGAGAGTTATGAATACAATAAATGTATTAGTCCACCTTTCTATCTTAACTAAGTTGACATGATAGCCAGTAAATGTCTACTGCCTCTGCACAGTCTCCATTTTGACACTCTGTGTTGATAATGAACTGGATTTATGAAGAAATGAATCATGTAGTAGAAGAGGTGCAGATTCATGTGAAGGACCTAAGGATTAAATAATATGTCACCAGTCAAAACCTGTATTTACTAATAAAATACTTTTTTGTTTTTCCCTGAAGCCAAGTTTGGTGTCAAAAATAACAGAATAAAAGTTCCTCTTGGATCTGAAAAGAAACACCTGTTTTGCTCTAAGAGCCTTGGATTCTTCTCAGGATCCAGAGTTAATCCGCCACAGAGATTTACCAGAGGAAGAGTTCATTTCAATTTCTGCGATGCAAGGGAATACACAGTTTGAGGGAGTGATGTTCTGCCATTGCTGTAGTTTGGCAGTGGGTAATCAGAAACTATTTGTAATGTACCAGTTCTATAAATTACACAGCAGTTGTTCCCTGCTAGCATAAAGATAAACCAAGTGTAAGTTAACCTCAGTGCTCCTACTGCTCAGGGATCAAGGGCAACAGAAAGGAAGCATGGAAGCGCTCGTACTGCTGCTGGCAGCAATCTGGACTGCCTCTGCATCTGCTTGGGGAAAAACAGGACACTCCACTTCTGCAGCGAGATGTTTACCAGAAGCACCCTCAAAAACAGATCTCAGCCAAAAACTGGTCTGAAGAGCCTGGAATTACCCACTGAGAATCCCCTTAGCCACAGTGGTCCCGGCACACACAGAAGAAGGAAAGGCAGAGAAGTGGGCACGGTCAAAGCATGACACTCTCTCATACCAAAACCTCTGTTGCAAGTTGAAATCACATTGACACCACCACCACTTTTGTTCTGCTGCTTTGCTGGTTGACACTCATTAGAAAGGTAGAAATCATGCCTGACCTTTTGTCAGCACAGTCGAGTTTTGTATTTCTTCATGTGCAGATGTGCTACATATTAAGCATTGTGTTTTTCAACGCCAAATCAAAACAAAAATTATTTATTATGAAAATGAAGGGCAGAGGTGTGTTTGTGCCTGTGTGTGCGTGTTGCCAGTTCCAGATGCCTTGGAACAGACCCTGCAGTAACCAGCAAGCTGAGCAGGGTGCTATGTGAGTTCAGCACGGTCAGTATGAAACTGGGTAGTTCCAGTGAACAGGAGGAAGGGTGTCTTCCTGCTAGCTTCTCTCAGAAGCACAGACATCACAGTAAGGATGACTTAGAGGTGCCTCTTTCAAATCAGGATCTACAATCTGCATCGCTGTCCTGGGATAATCATGTACATACCGTCTCTTTCAAGAAGCTGAGCACGTCTCATTTGGTTTTCATTCTGCACAGATGCTGGCCACGACGCCTACTTTTGTGTAATTGCCCAGTGGTTACAGCTATGGAGGAACAAACCTCATTTCAGTTCCTATCTTTGCTTAAGACAGCTTTTCACCTTGCAGGAGAGCACCTAACTAGGAGGGTGTTGTTCTAGTAAGGTACAGTTTCTACATTTTACAGTAGACATACAGCACACTGTAACATTTCTGGCACTGAGCACTGGAGACCCAGACTCTCTTTTCCCAAAGGAAAAACCTAATTGTTACCCCCCATATTAGGCTGAAGAGGTTGCTCAACTTTTCTGTTTCTATAGTTTATTAATCCTGCATTCTTCTCTACATGGTAGCAGAGCTTCAAAAAGAGGGATAACAAGTGGTTTAGTGGCTAGAATGTATCCTGGCAATTCGGTAGCTGCAGACTGTTTTGTTCATGCTGAGGAAGGCATCAAGCCTGAGTCCATCTACGTCCTGAGTGACTGATCTGCCCAGTGAACTATTATGTAAAAGGAAACACGAGGCCCTTTGCCATCTGGTCCTTAAAGGAAGGTGGGTGGTCACTTCACGCAGGCATGGCCCAAGCCAAATGGTGTATGCTGGGCATGTCCTGGGAATATTCACCCAGCTGAGCCCTGCAGAAACTTCTGAACATTTTGTTTTCCGATTCAGATCTGGAATAAGTGTGAGCTAGGCTGCTCTTGTCAAGGCTGGGGGAACTCTTCACCAGGGCATGGGCACAGCTACAGGTGCCTGGGAAGCAGCTCTTGACTTATTTGACAACTAAACTGCAGTTTTCAAAGTAATGATTTGGTTACTTTATAAGTGTTTATATTCTACCTAGATCTTATTTCTGACATCCAAGTGCGTTACAATTTTGAAGTGACAGAACTCAGCTAATACAAAGCTAAAAATTGTGAAAGAGAGAAAACAACCGTCATCCAACATTTTTGGGTCATCAAATTCTGCATTATATGAGGTTGTGTAGTATTTTTTTTATTTGTTTAGCTAATCATTTTATGTAAAGGAAGCTTATACGTCTAGAATAGAAGTTTCCCAATTTTTATTTTGAAGAACTTACATTTTGTCTTTTTTTTTTATATTGACTTTTATTAGAAGCAACATAAATTGCTTTGTTTTTCGAGACCTCCTCAAACAGAGTAAGTCACACTTTAATGTTATGGTTCCAATACAAAATAATGAAATTCCAATGTAGGAAAAGTATACAAAATGATAGCTAGTAGGAAATGAATTCTTATTTTACTTCCAAAGTTACAGGTTTCTATACCCAAACATGCCTGTCAGTGAGAGCATATCACTTTTCATCAGTCCTCTACCTGCTACATAGCAATGATAAGAAACACATCCTCACCTTCCATTTAGTTCTGCTAGCATGTCATGTATTTTTTTTTCCAGAGTTCTTTTTCATTCTGATGTCTAGAGTACTGCTGAATATAAGGTAAAAAATTGAACATGAGGCCATATAAGTGAATTTACAACAGAAAGATAAAATGTTCCCCAAAGAGCTACCAGAAAATCATGCTGCATGTCAGAGGAGGAAGGAGGGGGAGTGGTGGAATCATGCTCATGAGCAGTAATGAATACAACAGATATAAACCTCCTCAAACCAAGCGGACTATACAAGTGACTGTGCTTATTTGAACATTAGAAAACTAAAAGAACACAGACCTCAGATTTTTTTACCACATTTTGGGGGGGCAGGAAGTAAATGTCTTCTTGTTGGCGTTCTGGTCTTCTGAAATTCAGTTTTGCACAATATGTCTGTGTTGGCCTCACTTCCGTACAGGACTTTTTCTCAGTTTTCCACAGTAAACTCACCTGATAGTGGTGCTCCCTGAAATACTCCAGTACATTCCTGACAGTTTCACCAGAAAGTGTTTACTAGAGTGTTCTAGCCAGTGTTTTACCTCTCTCAGATGCACCACTACGGCAACAGCACATTATCCAAGGCTGCAAGAAACACAAATTCCCTGTCTAAGACTGCTGCCTTCTCAGAATCCATTTTATCTTCAAGTGAAAAATAAAGAATTTAAATGGAGATTGCAAGCAATAACCTATCAATCATCTGTCTTCCCTGTGCCAGGACAAACAGTGTTTACTTTCATCCAGAGTATGTTATGATCTGTAATTATTAACTCTGCCAAGTTCCAAGAAATATAAATGGGATGTTTTCTACAGAGGCTGAAAGTATACTGTTATCTTAGTTCTTCTAATTCGCAGTTCTTGGGTTATTTCACAAAAAAAATGGTCCAGTTGTTTTTAGCTGACTTGTTATTTCACCAGATGTCACATTTTGTTGCTTTATGGACATATAATTCCTATAAATGTGCATGGGAGTTGAAGGAACATAAGAAAAAAAGAATATACTGTATTTTGGAAATAATTTAAACCTATTTAATAAGCATTATAATGTTAACACATACCAAATATTCTTGATCTACCAAATTTTAATCTGTAGTTTTACAGTTTAGTCTTAAAGTGGTACCAAAAAATTAACAAAATTTCTAAGCATTGGATATCTAAAATATGTTTAATTAAATGTTTAGGACAACATACCAGATATGCTTCTTTTTGATAGTTGGACCTGAAACCCCTTATGTTTCGTAAATATTAGCATCGCAAACGTCTTTAAAATAGTTATTTTGGTGAAATTTGTTAAGATAGTTAAAAATGTTTGTACTGATCTGCCTCTGCACTCCCCTGTTTTATCAAAAAGCCTGGCTCAAACATTAGATCTACAATATACTCTTGAGGAGGAAGCAGAAGTCCAGCTATTCCTTGAGGAGAGTCATCAACCAATTTAACTTCATTCCAAGCTCTGTTATACTTGCCACGAACCAAACTACAGCCAATGCCAATTCTGTCTGCTATCACCTAAAACGGAAAGAAAAAGGAGTTAATTACAGTTAATACATGTAGCTTCTGTGGTATACAGCAAGGCCAAGAGATGCTTAAAAAGAAAACAAATACCTGAAAGGCCAAGAGCTTTGTTCAAACAGACTTTGTAGATCTCTACAGTGTTCCAAACTACAAACCTTTATTGTTGGTTCTGCCTAGAAAGTGTAGGCTTTTAAATGTTATTTCTACCATATTCTATGGTAATTGTCAAAAATACTCATTTTAACTCATTTTAACTCTTTTCAGACACTGACACATTTGTTTATCAGCCAGCCCTTCAGATCTCAAATGAAGTGCAACACTCACAGTACCCAGCAATGTTTTTTTTCTAGTCGGAAGACTTACATCTGAATAACATTTTGAAGAACTGCCTGTTCAAGAAATGAGGTGTAGGTACATTGCACACATACAGCTAGTATGAAATATTAAGTGTAAAATTGCCACATTTTTACCAGTGTAAATTTAGGACTGCTGCTTCACTCTGAAGCACACTCCTTGCTTTTCAGCCCTGCAAATGTGGGAAGCAATGAAATGCGAGGCAAGCATCTGCTAGATGAAACACCTGCCTTTCCTCTGTGCTGTGCTATCGCTGACAGACCTGTAATGGTTTCCAGCTACAAAACTGCTTTCTCAGAATGCATCTACTGTGAAGGAATAAAATCCTGAAAGATTTTTAACTTGTTACAAATGGACGAGGATATCCATTGCTTAGACTGCTCTGGCTTTAAGAGAGATCATCCGTCCCTACAAAGGTTTCTTAGGACAGTGGAGGATAAGTGAACATCAGTGCTGCTTCAGCACAATTAATGCATGCCCTCCGACCTCCATAAAATATGTCAGGAACTTTCTCTCCCCATGGATACCATAAATTTAGGATTGTGTTCTTTCTCCTGTGTACTGTTTCCTAAGTCCTTCCCGCTTAACGTGCTAGGCCCTTGCTTCTCTTTTCCTTTCTGTCCAGCTACCTGACAGCCAAGAAAAAAGGATGGGACAGATAAACAAGCTGCAGCAGTATGTCTTCACATGAAGACAGAAGAAATTAATCTTCCCAGTGTAAGAAACTAGAACATAAGAGCTGTTATATACTATCATAGAATACTGGATAGATACCAAATAAAAATTGTCCCAACAAGTGTACATTTGTAGCATGGAAAAAAAAGGAAGCTGCATAATTCAGTATTTTACAGTTTACAGAAAATGTAAAATGTTTTGACTCCCAATCAAGTATTTTGGCTTTTTGCCATTTATCAAGTATTTTGCTGATATCACTTAAGACAATTTAATGACAACAAGAATGTTTACAGAAAGAAGCGATGCTGGCTTTCATTCACTGGGAAATCAACTTTGCCAGTGAAAAATTACTTAAGTGGATACAAAAGATTTTACATGAATATAAATATTATATTATACTGATGCAAGTATATTTTAGTTTATAATATCCATTTAACATCAGTATGTTATGTTGTAAAATAAATGTTAACGTACCTTGAAAAGTAAAGCCCTGTGGTAGAATGTCCCTTTTTTGACTTTCCCAATAGGCACAACGTTGCATTTCAGATCAAATTCTATTTCACTTATGTGAAGTTCCCAGCTGAAGTCATGAAGTTTGTCTCTTTCAATCGGGCCACCCATCTTGTCTGCAACAAACCTGTTCCAATGTATACCGGGATCAATTGTATCTATAATTCCTCTTGTATTTATCACAAAAATGTAGCAAAATGAAATGTATACAAGCAATAAGTGAATGATATATAAGGCTTTAATACTTTTGCTGTGTTTGCTTTATATTTTTTTTTTAGTTCAGTAACTGGTATTTTAAGTACGTTCACTGTTCAATACAGATAACCATAACTCAGGTCATTCACATTTGTCACAGACCTAAACCAAGGTGCAACAGCTGTCAGCAGAGAGTCTGGAGAGGTCTAATATAGGCACAAAGTCCTCAGAGAAAATCATCAATAACAGTGTAATTACTGAGGAAGTAGTTCAGAGGCTAGTGTTCATCTTTACAGCTAACAGATTATGTGAGCTATGCATTACAATCCCCAGCCCAACCATTTGTTTGAAATAGTAATAAAGGCATGAGAACGTATATGACAAAAATAAAGCCATAGGTAATGATCCCAACATAGGAAAGCAACTATATCCATACCATAAAGTGTACTTCAACTTCTATATGTGCTTTCCTATATAGAAGCTAGTAATTGGGGGGTGAGAGGTGTGTATTATCCATTAAAAAGAATGGCTCAGTCAGTCACAGAAACAGAAGATCAGAACTTACAATCTGTGCAAACATTACCAAAAGCGTGTCTTTTGGATGACTGTGCACACACAGCATCAAGCCCTGATTTGTAAGTCCCGGCCTCCTCATACACACACCTTTAGCTCCCCTATGCATGGCCCCTGTATATGAAGACCTTTGTTCCTCACGGTGTCTGCAGCCACAGGCACAAGTGTTATTGAGGGCTCTGGACAGGGTGTTGCAGAGCTGACATGGGAATCACAAACCACTGCTTCAGACAGGGAGCTAAAATCTGCACCACCTCCTCTGCAGTAACTGTGAACAGGTTCTGCCCACGCAGTACATGCAAGGCAATCCCAGAGGCCTGATTTTGCAAAACCTAGGGCCTGAGGAGGTACTGGTTGCAACAGCATGGGCACAGGGAGGTATCACCGAGCAGGCTAGACGTGGTACCGTGAAGCTGCGAATCACTGGGTGAACCTGAAGAAGTGGGGGGGTCCAGGCAGCCACCTGTGCTGCTCGTGCCTACAGCCAGCTCTCAGTAAAGACGGCAAAGCTCCTTGAGCCTACAGGCACACTGCTCCGTCGTGCCACAGAGGTGTGCTGCGTTTGTTTAGGAGGAGACAGCCGGCACTGTTGCGTGTTCCCTCATCTACCCCGGCTCCCTCCCCGGCCGGCGCAGCAGGCACTCTGCTCAGGCTGCCGAGGCCTGCTGCAGCTGCCTCCGCGGCCCCTTCCTATTCAACACACGCTGTTCAGCCAGCCGCTTAAAATGGAACATACACATAAAAATCCCCACAGAAAACATTCTACTTAAATTTCCCATGGTTGTTTTGCTGGGTTGTGTGTCTGCAAGTATTTCATTGGTGTGTTTGAAGAGCAGATTTGAAAGCGCATTTTATGGATTCCACCTTGAGGAAGGCAGCATGATTTATATGCAGCTGGGTAGTTAAGGATGAATATCTGTCCTGTCAAATTTTGCAATCAACAGAAAAGTCATTCCTCATATCACATTAGACCACTTCAGTAAAAATGGGAGTTAGTAGAAGAAACAAATTTTGTAAGACTCAGTGGGATCTGACGCCAAACTCTCCAGATCCAGGAGGCAGCCAGGAAACTGCTACGATAGTAAAGGTTAAACTGAGGAGAAGATGAAAGCAGACACACTGCTTGGAGGTGACAGTGATTGGTGCCCAGGCTGAGTAGTCAGTGTAACTAATGAATCACACATTGATAACAACAGTCTGTACACGCACCATTGCACTGTTAAATCATCAGGATATTAATTACAGTAGCACCTAAAAACTGCATTAGAAAAATGTCTCATGCTTTTGGCTCTATAGCAAAACAAAATACAAGAAAGTTCCTATCCTGAGGGCTTTCCAAACCAACCAGGCAACAAAGAGCCTAAGAGAAAAAGCAGACATGATACATGGAAGTTACAACGGTCTGAACTACTAGGTTAGGGTTTTAGCTTGTGCATTTAGGCTCTGCAGCGCCTGGGTCTCTCTGGCTCCTTGATGATATAGATGCCATGTGCAGCTGATGTGTTCATTGGAAAGAATCAGTACAGATACATAAACGTGAAAAATTCTGAAATTGTCCATATGAATATTTTCAAAACGAGAAATTTACACCCTTTTGTTGCAAGTGATATATTTTTTTAAAAAATTAAACTAATTACAACAAAATTAGAAACAAGAAGCTTAAAATCTAAAATTACGTCAAAATTCGTGACCAAAGCTGATTTGGTTTCCAATTAAGGATGGGAAAAATAACAAATTTGGAAAAGTTGTCTTTGGATGAGAAAACAGTTATTTTATCAATTCAAGTTATTTGCATTATTTATGGAAATATAATTTGGTACTCACCGTGCAAGAGCCATAACCTGTGCCCGGGTAGTAGTTAGTGGTAGAATTGTTTTGGAAGCATCATTAATGTAATCCAGTAAAATGAAGTCAGGTGGTGGTAGCCAATGTGAATTTTCTGTATTTATTTCATCCTGGACTTTAGATGTAATCTGAATAACGTCTTTTGATTTTTCCTCTTCTTTTTTCCCCTTCCCTTTTCTTACATAGAAAACAATATACACTTATTTAGAATATTGTAATCTCTAAAGTCCAAATTCAAATACAGTAGTTCTCCAACAGGATATTTTAGACAAATAGATTTGGGCGGGGGGAGAAGGTAGGAGAAATCTTTTCTCTGGGTAATGAATACTCCAAGATTTACAAAGCTGTAGAGAACACTTGTGGAACATGCCCTCAGGAGATGGTTAGGAACCAAGTGTCACTAGCTCCATATTAATATTGCTGTAAATTCTCGTTTTATTTTTGTTTATGGCTCTGATGTGCCTTTCCCATGTATGGATAATCTAGGGGAGAAGACACTTACCTACGTACATACAGGAAACATTTTTAGACAGTTATGGTTTGGTTCTGTATGGATATGAACTAAAAATCATGAACTCCTATGAGTTTTTACTTGACTTCAAATAAAGGAACAAATGGTATCAAAAACATGGCTGAAATCTAGACAGGACACGCCAAGCGGTAGTCTGAACTTGCAAGTCCATGTACTTCAAGCATTATGCAAACTACAAGGTGGCTTGTCAGATGAAGATTTTATTAGAAGTCTGTGTTTTTGCTGACTTTTTTCATTGTACCTGCTACATATTTCACTAATGCTTAGGATTTGAAAATTGACTGTGATCCTGAACAGGTATCATACGCACCTAGCAGAAGTATAAGTGAAATACTTGTTCTGTTTGGATTGAATACTGTGCATTTCATGAGTTATGCAGCAACTATAAAATCAGTATCTTGCCAGAGGTATCGTTATGATCTATACAATCAGACAGTTTAGGATTTTTCATTTGTGGGAACACATGGAACTTGTGTTTTGTAAGCATTATATCTTTTTTCAGCATAGGTCCTAAATAATTCTACTGTGAAATATGACAAAATTTCTTTCCTTTGTTTAACAGTTCTGGCTTATTTTTTAAAATCCATAATACTTCTGGCATTCTTGGAAGGAAAAAAAGAGAAATAAAGGACCACTAAAGTACATCGCTTCAGGGCACCCTATCATTATTGTATGCTCTTCAAATTATTCTTAAAATTTTTACAATGAACAGCACTCTTAAGATGGAAGGCATTGGACAAAGCAGAAGGGCATATACCATTATCGGCAGTCTAATTCAAGCAACTCATCTTCAGAATACTTTGCAAAGTTTTCTTTCACCTGTTGAGATTTATCATATACACAAAAAAGCCCTTTTCATAGATTTCATAAAGCACGTTATTCTAGAAGGATAACCAATTAAGATTTAATCTTAAAATTATAGAAAATTCACCACCCTCTCCATTCTGGTTATTATTTACACTTATACTTGAAAAAAGCAGATAAACAGTTTTCTTTATCCAATTTAACTCTATCTAACTATAGCCAGGGAACCTTATAATGCTAGATTAAACACCTACCTACTTCTCCATTTATACACTTAGACATTATTGTTAAGAATACCCTGTTTATAAAAAATCTGAATTATTCCCACCTCTCTGGTGTCTGACCTAGCAGGTTTTCAAAACAACAGCTTCTACAAATGGTATAATTCTTGTTCCTTGACCATTTTCTCTCTTTGTCCCTTGCTCTTCCCTTCTATGCACCCAGTGCTTTCTTCTCCCTATGAGAAGTGCACCGCTAAATTACAGCACTATAGCAGGAGAATTTGTTCCCTATTCCTATCTACTCAAATGACTCTTGAATCACTGTTATTCATTCTCCTTCTTTCCAGCTTTCAGGAAGAAAACACTTGAGAGGGATGGGTTTAAACAGTGATTTGTTTGTGGTTTTTTTTGCTGCTGCTTATTTCTTTCAGGTATGACTATGTTCTGTTCCTTGGTGGAATGGCTGCTTTAAGGTTGTCTTCCACACCTGCCCCTACCTTGCTCCTCAACCCTTCAGTTCATCATGTCTGTCTAATACTTACCTCCTAAGTAACTGTGGAGGTGCTGTCTTACAGCTCAGTACTATAAAATAACCAGTAACCATTACAGTCCTTACAATTTTTCCTGTCCTCTTTTTTCATCTTCATTTTATTTAGCAGTGGGAATTATCACATCAGAAAAAAAATCACTCCCCTTTCCCAAAGCTGCCTTACTCCTTCTGAGACATACTTGCTGTGAATGCAGAGGAATACTGCGAAGGAGAACTCATGGCAGTTAATAGTCTCCAAGCTGTTTCTGATTCCTGTTGCAACTTCAGAACAAAAGCTCAATGGGTCACTGGAGAGTCAGTGTGAGGAAGATCGCAGCCAATACAATATCCTACCACCAAAAGACAGCCATGACACCTATTTTCTTTTCCTTTTTTTGCATAGCTTAATGCCTTGGTTGTCTTTAGAAAAGGAGTAAAAGCCCTTTCTCTTAGCTTTCAACTATGGTTTATATAAAGTAGTATCACTTTTTCAAAACAATGGCTTTAAATTTTGTTCAGTAGTACTTTGCAAAATAATGATGAACAGGCATATACGATCAAAGAAAAAAAATGTGTAGGAAAATGTCTAAGCATGTTTGAGACTTGGAGTCAGCTAGTGACCTTCAAGTAACTCCCATATATCTCACAAATTAATAATAATAATGATGTATGAATTATGGATTCAAAATGGATGATGATGGGGTTATAAATCATACAACTTGATCATGACATTCAAAAGCAATTATTTCATACTTGAAGAAAGCTGTCTTTGTATCCCTGCAAGTTTACTATGTGAAATTGAGCCAGGTATTTGTTTTTTCCTAAGGAAAATATTTTTGCTTTCCAAAAGAGTGATGTTTGCTAACAGAGCAGTCATTTACTGTGCAATTGACATAAATTACATTCAAAAGCAACTATCTAAGGGTATCCTCATCTCACACTGTAATAAACAAATGTATTATCTTGTCAGAACAGGTCTCTAAGATCTGCACAGCTGCTTGAGACTATGCAAAATGGTCTATGACTCTAAAGCATCTTCTGAGATGAAGGAATCCCCCACTGGTGCAGAGCAAGCGTAACTGGGGCTCGACCTCTCCCCTCGCTTCCTGCTCCCTTTGAATAAACTGGCATATGCATAGTGGGTCATGAGCAGAGCATGCTGGTTCATCAGGAGGATCTGCTAAATGAGCAGAAGCTAGAATAGGCCTGGTAAGACACTCAAGAGGTGGTATCTATGCTTCTGCATCCTGAAACAGGAAACTTCCACAATGAAATTCATATGATTAATTTCAGGTATCTACTACGAAATGATTTAAATGGAATTCCAGAAGTGCTTGCAGTTCAAATAACTAGTCAAATGTAAATGTCTGCCTTGTAAGTCAATAACTTTTGGATAGACTAATCTCACAATTCAGGTCCTGATTTAAGTCAGAACCTCAACCCTTCACGGTCAGTAGCTATTATCTGTCAACGATTTGCATGTCAGTTCTAAACAAACTGATACACTTATAATTCAAAGTATAATACTTTAAGCCTTTTTCTCTAGTGCTGCTTTTGCTGATTGAACACCATTGTCCAGATAACTCCTGCTTTTCCTCCACTGGAGATACCATTAAACTATTGAGATCACAAAGCAGGTTCCAATTTTCTCTTGACTTAATGCAGATTTCATCTCTCAGGCACAGATACATACATACAGACAGAGAAATATATAAGCAGTCTAAGAAATCAACCATTATCTCTATCAATGAAATGCCTGTACAGACAGTAGGATATCACAGTTCATGGATGAGCTCCAAGCTAAAAACTGCAAACACAGTACTTCAGTTCCTACAACAGACACGCCATCTCTCCTTTTTTTCCAAGCCTGAAGCACTTAGCACTTAGTCATCTATGGAATTTCACTGGAAGAAATTTAATCTAGAAATAAGGATGCAAGTAGGCAGTGTAGGAACTTTTTGTAGGTCTAGGTTCTAAATTCTGAAAGAACTTCTATCCTAATTTCCCTGTGTCTTGGCTGTCAAGCTGTAAAATAACAGCACTTCACTGCTGCCTCCAAGGGATATTCAAAGGAAAAACAGCCAAATAAATGGGAGATGTTCAAATAGAGCATGGGGCGGGAGGATGAATAATTACTAAGATAGACAAAGGAACACTACTATAATTAGGAGGTGAAAGAAAGACTCCAAAAACATATTTAACATTGTATTTGAGCATTTGTCCTCTGTTTGGAAACTGTCTATCACTATTTTCAATCAGAATTCTATTTCTAATGTTACAGAAAGAACAGAATATTGGCAACTAGTTAAATCTTAAAACCATACCTTGCTTTTTCTCTACTGCCTTTTCTTGAAATAGAAGGTGACAAGATCGTCTGTTCATAAGATGAATCTTGTGCCTTCTCTCCTGCAAGACTGAAGTGGAACAAGATATTTTTGCATGTTATTTGCAGAGTTAGTATTTGCATGTTAAGCTAAGAAAATGGAGTTCTGATTTTAAAGGACAGTAAATATATTCATAAGAAGTATATAAGTGGAAGAACTAACATAACCACTAATAAATGAGATATTGATTCAGGAATCAAAAATGAAGTATGGAATACAAAATGATGGACACAAAAGTAACTGGGGAGTAAGACTGCTGCCAAGGTGCAAAGGCAAGAAGCTGTATCAGAGTCAAAGAAAGAAAACCTGATAGTTAAAGACAACTCTAGGGATCAACAAAGAGCGTGGAAGTTCAATTTGTCATAGATATTCTCAGACATCTTTATGGTGTCATATACAAGCTTAAAAGGGAAGATAATGATATTGTAAACCAAATATGTGATGTGTTGACAGAGGTGGTTTTGGATTTGCAAAATATTGGTAGAGCATTCTTTGATCTGTGAGACTGTTTACAGGAAATGACTCCCAGTTAAAAAAGCCCAATACCAACTTCCTGCATTCAAATCTAAGAAGATTTGTTAGGCTGGCTTCAACTTAAACAGAGAAGAAATGGACACAGGTTCTTTATCAAGCCTGAAAGTTTGATGCTTGGCTATGTCCTGCCTCTTGGGATGTTGTGCTTAAAATTCCATGCATTTGTCTGTACAAGATCATCAAATCACAGGTTTTATTGTCGAATGTTGACATTCAGCTTAGATGACATAAATATTATGGCAGATGACAAGCTTTGTTATAACTAATAAAACACTGGGTGTCCCACCATCAGGAATCAAAGGGTGTTAAATGAATGAGTCTTAATGGCTAAGTTACAAAAAGTAACTGAATAAATCTTTTTTTGTGTAGAGGGAAAAAAAAAGTTATTTTCCAAATTCTTATTTTATAAAATATAAACCTCTTGCCTTCTACAACACAAAGCACTGTGCTGGGATTAAAATAGATCTCTCTATTTTATATATGTGTATGTATATCTATACCATGTAGTTTGTACTGGAAACTGTGGAAAAGATGAGCTATTGCAATAAATGCTAGTAGATCAAACATGACTCACTCTTCTTGTGGTTTGGCATTAATGAAAATTATGGCCCGACGGTCAGTAAGCTCTTGCATACTCAGTTCCTCCAAAGATAAAAATTTCACTCCAGGTTTTATCTATAAGAAAATTAGCATAAAAGATAAGGGGTTATGTTCAGTTAAAGATGAAAAGAAAAAATATATTTAAAAGATATCTAAAGAGTAATTTAAAATTCCTAATATTTAGCAGAAGACTTACACAAGAACTTATAAAGCCATTCAAAGTATGTGAAATTGTTTTCTTCTTCATTTGCATTTTCTTCACCAATTTTCTTAGAAAATATTTCTTGCAAATAATTTAACATGTAGTTATTGTTACTATGTCATTCCAAACAGTTCTAGAACAAGGAAATGTTCCTGCCTCTGAAGGCTTTACAATATGGGATGGAATTTTCAAAAGCAACGAAGTGCTTTAGGAGCAGGTATTTTACTGATTTTCGGTAAGACTGGTATTTCTAATTCATTTGGGCATTTTGAAAAGTCCTCAAATTTAAACTGAACATAGCACTAACAAGTGATGCTGGAGTCAGTCTTTATATATAAACACTGCTTTGTGAGAGAAAGGGTCATGACCAAGGTGAAAATATGAACTCTCTACTTCTTTATGTAAAAACAGACAAACAAAAATTCCATAGGTCATTTAGTGCCAGGTTAGTATTAAGTATAGTGCAGGGAAGGAGACCAGAAGAACTAAGGTCTGAGAAAGGACCTGGAAAGGAACTAGGTCTACACACCTTACACAGGATTGGGAAGAAGACTGCAACTAGGGGACAGCATAAAGATGATGAGATTTATTCCATGAAGAAAGATAATCAGAAGAAATTAGTATAAAATCTGGGAAACTTCAGGACAAGAAAACAAAGTATTTTATGTAGCCAGATTCTGGCTTTTGCTACAGTACTCTTTCTAAATCAAGAAGAAAATTTTACTCTTTCTATGTAAAATAATTTATTTAAAGTAGCTTACCTGACCACAGTCGTAGAATCCATCAGTAATGATATTACTTGATGATAAATATCCCATCTGGCTGTACTTTTGGGGAAGATTATTATCAAGTAGCTTTTCCAGAGCATCTTCACTAAAGTTATTTTTGCGCCCTGTTGATAGATTAATTTCTTCTAGGATGTCTAAAGCACTGTTAAACAAAATACAAAGGCTAATTCATCATTAAATACTAATTAATTGTTATTATACAGTTCAGAGTTAGTTTTCAGCATTACCAAGGCCAAGACAGATTCACTTCCAAATGCTAGCCTTGTGCCCTCTGGACCAGCAAGGAGCTGGCTGTGCTGCACAGAATTCTTTCTCTAGGGGAGGAAAGCACCTTGCAGTGCTCAAAAGCAAAAGTAATTCTTTTAGGCAGTTAAACTGTTACATAAAGATATGTGGACAGGATGCCACAACCTTTTATCAGAAGGATGTTAGGCAGCACAGAGAACTTGAGAAAAACAAGGATGTAACAGCAGAGTAAAAGGAATAATGTTCAGAGCTGAGCACATGATACGGTTCAGGGAACCTCCCTTTCTCTCTCTCTCTCTCGCTCCCCAACTTGCAATGCAATTTGCAGATTCCAGTTGTGCATTACGCAATGTGTGAATCCTTCTGGTTTAGGACTGCTACTGTGTTTGGGGGAGGCGCAGCTGGCAGAGATTTGCTAAACATGGATGAGCACGGAAACACAAGCAGTTGTGTCAGCACCACCAGGATGGCAGGATTTTTGTGGCATGGAACTAGAAACGAATAGTCATGTGGGGACACAGGAGGGCAGGAATTCATTTCTTAAGCTGTTTCTGGTGCTGAAACCCAAACACTGATAACTTCTGATCTGAAAAACTTAGGAAAAGCTCGCTAAGAAGATAAAGGAAGTTGAATCAGAACATAGCATATTGCAGTTTTGGAACTGTTTAGGAATGGAAAAAACAGGAAAAAAGAAGGGGATATATTCATATGTGTGTGTGTGTACATATTCAAATTTATATCTGTGTGTGTCTATACACACATACAGACATTCTTCGCATCCTTTGTATTTTTTGTATTTTTATATATATATATAAAATGAACTCCATGTTCAGACTGCCCGTTTCTCTCTGTGAACTACGCAGGGAGTCTCAGCTGTGGACATTTACAATGTAGACTTCTGAAGGTAGGTCAGATGAATTCCAGAGAACAATTTTTTCAGGCAAGGCAAATGACAACCTTCTCTTTTAGAAGACAGCAATGGGAGAAAAGAGTGGAAGAGCAGTACAGGCTATTTGTCATACAGCATACTGCAACAGAGTCAGGTAACTAGCAAGCAATGCAGGGAAGAATTTTAAAGGGGAAAATTAATAACGAAAGGCTAATGTGTACAGCAGTGTCTAAAAGAGATGACGTTACAGGCACAGCAGCACATTACCCTCATATGGAGGAAAGACAAGCCAAAACCAGACAAATACGGCTAGGCCAAAAGTTCTGTGAAGACTCAAAAACCAAAAAAGGACTCATACAGAAATGGAAACACTGACACTTCCAACAGAAAAGAAAAAGTAAGGACAAACCCAAGAGACCCACAGGCAAAGACACACACAACTATCCAGGGACCGAAACAAAAATTAATGTTTTATATGCTACAAGTCAGAAAGGAAAATGTAGGTCTATTACTCAATGTGGGAAGAAAACTCATAACAGATGGCACAGAAAAGACTGAAGTGTCTGATGCCTTTTTTGATTCAGTTTTCATAAAAAGGTTGCAAGCAGATGCCTGGCAGTAATATTAACAAGGAGGTAGAAACAGTAGGCTTAACATGTCTAGAATAAGTTTGAGGAGACAAAGTTAGCAGTCCCTGAGGACACTTACCTCATACTACTCTATGAATTGGCAAAATCAACTTCTGAACTATTTATAATTGTATTTGAAAATTCAGGGAGGACAGACTAGGTGCCAGGAGAGTGGAGAAGGGCAAAGATACTATATAGATTTGAAAAATAAAGAACAAGGAAATTCAGCCAAATTTCAGTGTCCATATCAAATTGTTAAACAATCAGTTTGCAAGCAACAAGAGATAAGAAATAGCCATTATGTATTTGTCAAGAATAAATCATGTAGAGCCAATCTAATCCTTTCTGTGATAGGGTAACTGATTTAATAGATAGGCAGAAGAAGTAGATGTGAGATATGAGTTGACTTTGAGATATGTTTTGATTTTAATACGTCTTTTCACATATTCCTACTTGAATACTCATGAGCAAGTCAGGGAAATATGATCTACGTGAAAATAACATGAAGTAGTGCCTGACTGGTTGAAAAACTATGCTTAATGTATTATTATCAATAATATGCTGTCAAACTGGAAGGACACATAAATTAGAGTCCTACTCTGATACTGTCAAAAAGAAGGGATTAAATAAGAACAGTGCTATATGCAAGATATAGAAATTAATTACTGAGCTTTATTTGATGGTGGTATGACCTCAGCTGAAGTACCTCACCCAGGCTGGGAGATGGAAATTCAAAATGGCATAAACAAATGAGAGAAATTCAGAAAAAATTATACAAGATTTCAAAAGAAAAATAAGTTTAACATTTTTACTTTGTCACGAAAAGGAAATTGAGAGAGGGACAGGGAACATCAGAAGATTCAATAAGTTAAACTCAAATTGCTATAAAAAGGTGGTTATTCAATCCCACTGAAAGTAGGACAACACGTAGTCAGATTGATTTGCTGTAAAGGGTATTTGGAACTCAGAAACCCCTTCTAATTGTAAGGATATTCCAGGACTGGAACAGGTTACCTCGGAAAGTTGTGAAACCCCCTCAGAATTGGTATTTACACTGAACAAGCAAAAATATGTCAGTGTACTTGATTCAGTCTTACAGTGGGCAGATGGATTATATCACCTTAGGTCCTCTCCTGACCTAAATTTCTGAGATTCTCACTTTGCAGAATCCCCTCACAGATGGATTTTAGGTATCTGTGCAGTAATCAGAGAAGCGTCCAGCAGAGGGAGCAAGGCAATTACATATATTTTAATTTAACAGTAACTGAAACAGTCACCCTGTATAAGGAGCCCTGTGTCATAATTCTTAGAACCGAAACCAGCTTTTGTAATTCAGATGTTAATATATGGAACTTGGAGTTTCTAAGAAGGAATAAAATGGAGTCTCTTTTATGTGACACTTCAGCACACCTGCAGTTAACCAGAGCTTGTAAATCAAATATAGCCTGTGTGAAATAAGTACAATTTACTGTATATTGAACTTAGCCTCAAACCTTAATTTCAGTTTCATATGTATGGGGCACTGTAGTCCCTAATTTTGACTGATATAAGCACATCTTCAATGTAAAACCTAATTCAGTCACAGAAACAATAAATGTTTTTATAAGTCAAGATAGTTCTCTCTTCAGGCTTACATTTTTTCTTAAGAGTTCTGTTACTTAAAACCAATACCATTTCACCTGTAACATCTGTGGTGCAAAAGCAGTTTCCACTTACCAAAAAGTATAGTTTAACTTTGTAAAGATCGACTTTATATAGAGTTCTCGCATCAAAATCTTCCCTCTGACCCTTGATACTATTTCTACTCACCCTAGCCTGCATAGTTCAACAGCGGTTAGTTCATCACTTGCACAGACCAGAATGGCCCAACAGGCATTTCTTCTGACTTCTTCATTCTTAGAATGCAGCAATTCAATGAGTGGTCCCAGTCCACCTGTATTTCTTAACTGTAAAAAAAGGATGACATTGCCACATACATATTTCATCTATCCCAGTAAGAACAGCCTGTGAAATTCATCTTCTGAAACATTCGAGCCTTGTAGGAAAGCTATGCTGGGCTGGTAGAAAGGACATTTATGGAGATTCTGTTCTTCTATGAACTCTGTATAGGATGGACCTGAAGCGAGCTTCAGAATGGTACAAGGCACACATCACTTCTGGCTCTGCCTTGCTTTTCAGTTATCAGATTGCGGTGTGGAAACTGAAGAGACTGCAACCCAAGACAGCCACAGAGAGTTACACAGTTTCTTCTGTGTTCTGTTGCCTCCTAGCAACTAATTTACATCACAATATATTTGAATTTGTATTGTATTGTATGTATGACAATCTTATTAACATCCTATTCTCTTGTGTGCTACAGTATCTTTCCTATACATACTGGATGAAATACTGCTCATTTGGATTTTTGAAGAGAAAGACATTTTAAGGTCACTGAAAGAGGTAGATTAATTATCTATGCCCCTTATTCATGTCCTAATTAACAGCCTTGACCCATGAGAAAACCCCAGCTTATGATCTATGAATGCACATAGCATCATCCTTATTTATGAAAAGAAAATAGTATGACCATTGATAAACAGCGAAAAGTTCAACTTGCTGGATGCCACTGATCAAGGGATTAATTATATTTTGAGTTTTGTCTGAATTACATTTACTCCATGCACATCCAGTATCTCATTAATCAAGGTCAGACATTGCCATTCAGGCCTTGAAAGTGGGCAACAGAACAACACTGAGGGAGAGTAAACTCGTCATCTTCAAAGTTCAGCTGACAGTTGCAGCTGAAAGAAACCTTAATGTTTAATGCTCATAAACATGGGGATTAAGATACAGCCCTGGTTAAAGCTCATCAAAGCCACTGAAAAGCTGTAAAACATTCATTTGGTGCAAGCAAATACAGCAGTAAAAATACAAATTAAAGAAAACCCTCTCCAAGTTCTCATGACAAACTGAGCTAAATTCAACTGAACAAGCCTATGATGAAAGTGAAAAATTAGTTGCTATCTAGAAAGCCTGGGACTTTTAGGACAGACACAAAATACAAAGATTCTAGGTAAGTATAACACCAGCCACAGGATCTAGAAACATTATAAATAATCACAGCCTCAAAGAGTAGTTTTACCTCAGCTCTTGCATCAGCATCACAACCAAACGCAGCCACAGCAAATGCTGCTTTGCTTTGCACTTGGTTGTTGGTCGAGCGCAACAGTTCTGCAAGTGCATGCATAATACCACGGCTCTGGATATTTACGCGGAATGGCTCTTGCATGGCCAGATTCGTTAGCACTGTAGCAGCATTAGCAATGGCTCCATCTCTCTGAGCATTCAAGGTATTTACTAATGGCTCAATTCCTTCAGCCTCAGCAACAGCCCTAGCAAAATGAAGGAGAAAAAAAAACTTTGTTATTTTAGGACCATTTTTTCTTCTTAGTGTGCTGTATTTACCAACTAAATCAGCATTAAATTTCAAGATTTTATACATACATATATATATATATATATATATGTAATTTATCCATGAGTCATGGTGTGAAGTTCAAGAGGCACAACCTAAGCAGACAAACCAAGTCACAAACTGTCAGCTTCTTTAACTTGGGACATGGATTCTTTCTGAGGTTTTGAACAAGTGAATTAAATCTTGCATCCTGTCAAAGATGCAGAATTTCTGTATCTTTAGATCCAGGCAAATGCCTCTGCAGACTCTTATCGCCCCTCCCCATAATCATTCTAGCACTACTTCTAATGAGGATTATAGTGCACGGAATATCACGTTGTCATTCTTTGTGCTGTCTGCATAAATTTCTGTGATCAGATACCTAGGTGGCACAAACACAGTAGACGAAGTTTCTGCCATTCTTACAGAGTAGGTGTACATGGTGCAGGTCAATGCAATGTAGAAATTATTGATCTGGCTTTACACAAACTGATTTAGACAGCAGGACTACAACAGGCACATCAGCACAGAGTTCAAGGCTGGCTATGACACCATTTCCACACCAACTGGTCTATCAGCAGCAGATCCAGTTTAAATATTTCCTCTGCTCCCCGATGATACTGCAGCCGTGGCTGAAGGGTGCTGCCCCTCAGCAGTGCTGGGACAAATGCTGGTGTGTCCAAGTTCTAAACTACCTGTTTGCAAATAAAATTGGGGAAGATTGCTGAGATTTTTTAAAGGATCATTTCATAGATTTAGGTTAGAGAACAGCCAAGAAAAAAAACCAACAAAACAGTTGAAAAAGCACTACTACAGAAACAGCAGCTTCAGGCAGGAGACAGCAGAAGGTGCAGGCAGCTGCATTATTAGAGGACATATTTGCAAATGACTTAAACCTGATGTGCTGCAAAACTAATAGTCACGTAGGCCTACATCTCAGTCACAGCAGAAGGAACTGGCCTATGAACACTTCATCTTAACACTGCTGTTCTGCTTCCAGCACTCACCGGGATAGTGCCTTTTAAAAGAAGAAAAAAGTAAACTTCATATTAAATATCTGGGGTAAAGAATACATTTGAAAGCAGCTGGTGCCGTGGTTTATAATGATAGCAAACTCTTGACTACAACTCATGCAGACCGTGAAGAGAGAACCTGGTCTGGCTGAGGGCAAACTACCATGCTCTAGCAAAGCTGAAAAGGTGTATGTTTCTGGCTTACCACCTCATTACGTATTCTTTGGTTTCTTTGCCATAGGCAAAAGAGACTATTGAGACAAATGTAGTTTACATTCTTCAAATGCCATAAGATATTCCATAACTTAAGATTTTTGTTGACTTTCTTGCCTAAACTTTGCTTGCCAGTAAACAACAGGAACTTATTTCTTTGACTATATAATCTTATGTTCATTTCAGTGGTGTTTTTTCCAATGTTATTATAAACCAGCACACTACAAAAATTGAATTGTCTTCCTTCTGAGTTTGTATATAAAATTTGATCAAATGATTTGAGGCATATGTCCAATTTACTATCTGCTCTTAGTAATTTTACATTGGGCTCATCTGTTTGTCAAACAAAAGTTGGCAATATTAGTAGCAATGGAAATGCGCAGATGGCAATTTGAATTTTCCTTGCAACTGCTTTTTGTACCCTCTTTTAGTACATTTTGTCTATATCAAAAACATAACAAACTCTCCCACCTCTATACAAGCATATCCAAGCACTTCAACAACAGAAGAGTGTACATTTTTATAAGTTTTGCTAAATTTATCTCAACACATTAATAAGAGAAATCTGGATGTGAAAAATCTTACTTTTACTGTAACAGTGGCTTACCAAAATCTAACTAACCTTTTGGTAACTTTCGCAGTTACAAAATAAACACAAGCTTAGCAGTATTACATATGCAAGAAACAGTCATGCTATCAAAGACTGTCCGGGCATTGATAAAAACAAAAAACCCCAGGCATGCTGATAGTCACGCTCTTATGCAAACAGGATAGAAAGCAGAATACATGCCAACCTGTGCCATATAATCCCATTACATGGGCAACATGATGGAGATCTTTCTGTGAACTCATCTTAGTGCAAGTATCTCCAAACTAGATTTTTAGAGAGGGGGACGCAGATACTCCTGAGCATACCTGGAATGACTCAGCAGAGGTTAACAGGGCTTGTTAGTCTGATCTCTGCCACAGCTACAAGGCGATGGCAATTCACAGGTAGTGCTGGAGCATGGGTGTAAGGAAGGCTGGCAGGTAGGAAGTAGTTCCCAGTTTGAAAAATGACGGAAAAGACAGCAATCCAGGGATTGAAGCTGAGTAGGATTACTAGCTTGGGTGCCGCATAAAGGTATAGGGCCAGTTTGGTGTTGGCTAATTAATCCTCCTGGAGCACCAGTAACTTTAATGGAAGCACTTCAGTCTCTGTTCAGAAGTGAATCCCATGTTTTCAGGTGTCCTGCACTGCACTCCTCAGACTGTCTTCAATTAGCTGGATTTCCCCTTATCTGGGTGTCCTCCCTCCCCTTCCCTCCTTGAACAGATAGGTAAGACCACTATATTTCTAGGTTCTCTGGTTAATATTGTCTTCTCTTTCCCATGAAAATTTTATCCAAATTTTCAGCTTCAGGAGTGCTGTGGCTCTATCCAGGCTGCTGTATATGAAGAAATCCTGGACGTGTTGATTGCACATGTAACGATCAGCTATATACCACATGTATCATAGGTTTATCGGAAAACATCACATTGATAGCATGTATAACAATGACATGACATGCCTGCTGGCAAAGGGTGGGAGAGGCTCACCATACATGCACACAGCCATGCACAGTAAGGCACATCCATAAGCTATCAGACTTACAGCATTACACAGTATATACATACATACCTTATCCAGGAAAAAGAAAAAAACAAAACAAAACAAAAAATCAAATAGTTTTTCTTGTACAATGGATACACAGAAATTCCAGGATTTATGGGACAGATCCACTACTCATGAATGCATCACTGCATCTCACAGGTGTAGTATAGCCAATACTTTTGCAGTTGAGTACAGGACTCTCTATTCCTATATTACACCCAGTAACACATGTATTCTCCCATAGAAAATCCTAATAAACATATAGTCCCTAACAGACTGATTTCAGGATGATACACGGAACTGAATGACGTAGCCAATCACATTATAAGCAGATTTACTGTAATTTCCATAAAGCCAGCAAGTACACAAGTACTTAACGAAAGAGCAAGGTGACAGCTCCTCGTGCGTTCAGAGCTGACCTCAGTGAGGTACAGAGAACAGCCAATTTTCTCAAGTGCCACTCAACTTCAAAAAGGTTGAGAACCACTGATTTAGAAGATCATACATATTTATTTCAATCCCGTGTTCTACTTCTGCGCAGACTCATTTTGAATCACAGTTTCATGAGTACAATTTAATCAAGTAGCACAATGGATCACAAGGCAAAATGAATTCATGTTAGAAGTGACAACAGCAGGTAATGAGAGTTGAAGGTAAGCAATACCTTTGAGAATAGGATTTTAAGAGGGCGTGAACACCTGAGGGCAACACTGTGTCCCGGTAGCAGAGATGCATACAGAAGAGGTTATGAGGGGAGAAGGAAGAATGGGGAATCCATCGTTCAACTCACTCTTACCCCATAGCCCTCCGGAGAACACAAAAGTAGCACGGACACCCCAGTCCACAGAGCCCCAGCTGCTAAAGAGGCAGCAGTGCCTGACCTCAGAAGGGAGCTGAAAGAATGAATATGCTTAAGTTTTTAAGGTGCTGAAATGCTACAGCATTAAAATCTAAGTATGGAGGTCCTCATTCCCTTCCGTCTTGGGCAGAGATATGCACTGTGTAGTTTTTTTTATTACGAGGCAAGAAAAGCCAGAGGAAGAAGATTTTACCAGCACTGTCTTTGCCTAATGTAGATCAGCAGTAGCCTCTCTCCCTGCCTCCAGAATGCACTCTGCTTCAGATGCATCCTACTGAGATGGTGCACTTTATCAGTGCTCCCACTACAGGACTACATCCTCAAGGAAGAAGGGAGCCTTGGTTTAGCTGAAAAAAAGTATCCATATTTTGATGTGGAAAATAGTAAATTATATAAATCCACAGCTTTTTTCTTCCCTGTTGTGTAAAGATTCAAAATACATCAACTTCCCTAATCAGGAAGAGAAAAGATTAGGGAAAAGGAAAGAACACAATGACAAGGGGGGGAAAAAAAAAAGGATGTTGCATTTGCAGTATCACCATGTTTTTTTGAAAAGTGGAAGCTGACTATCTGAATTACAAACAAACAAGAAAACCAGACAAGATAGGTGTAGAAATTACAGAGCTCAAATTAGAGTTAAAAGAATTAAAATGTTATGATTGATAATCACATGGTTATGATCATTACAGTGCCTAACCTAATACGGTTAGGCATATACCTTAACCAGGGTATACATGGTTCAGGTAGTCTAATGACCTTAACTATGCGCTGTGGTGAAATAGAAAAATTCTGATTACAATTGAATTCAAATTACTTATTCAATAACAGCTAAAATATTTTTCTCAAATGCCATTGGAAAGGCAAACATTAAAAGGTCAGATAACAAATACTTAATCTAAATTATTAATTTTAAATACACATCTCAATAAGTTATTAAGAGATTTTCTTGAAAATTCTCTAAAAGATCACCCAAGACTCAAAGAATAAATGCTGAGAGATCGAGAAAAACAAATGTTTTCTTCACTGTTTTTACTGCAAAAATAAATTAAAAATGAACAATAAAATCATTACCAAAAGTTTCACAATACGAACTTTTTTTAAACAGTTACCTTGGAGACGTATATGAATTTCACTGCACTTAATATTTTGTTGCTTTAGTTGTCTGGGGTGCAATAGGAAAGCTCAGACATTGGTAGAGTGTTGGGAAAAAAATCATCAGT